ATACAACATATTCAAAATGAAAAAGAAAAAAAGGCTATTTTACGCGATAAAAGAGTATCTCACCTTATTTGCACACAACGGAGCCGCACAGCCTGGTGGACACTGCACACAAAGGGCACGATTCACACATTCTGAATCGGATGTGCAAGCTCCTCGCGTGCAACCACACGACAGTACTGGGGACTCCCATTCTGGCAAAATTCCAACAGCAACACCTGCAAAATGGTATTCATGACATTTGCATTTTCAGTGTGCTGACGCAAGACTGAATACATAACGCGTGCGCAGAGTTCGAAAATTTCAACGGCAAAGTTCAGAAAGCATCCTGATGCCAAATCAAAAAAAAGGTCAAAATCTGCTTTGATGGAGGAAGTAAACTCACTTCGAACAATCTCTTCATATTCCTTCTCTCTTTTCAAAGTGGTATTGTCACAGCACGTCATTTTTTTCGTAGGCGTCGTTGTTTCGCAGCAAGACGTTCTACGGGCAGGAGTGGAATGAGAGGATCGTCTAAATAAAACTTCATCAGTGCGTACGATTCACATTTTGCATACAATGTAGTAAGTTGAATGCTCAATCAAAACAAAACAGATCAAACTGACTCCAAAACAGTTTTGCACGCTGTAGAAAGAAAGAAACTCGTTTTCGGATAAGCAATGCTATATAAGTTTGTTTCAGATTAAAAGAAAAATGATACAAATTTTGAGCGCGCTTCAAATATAAAAATTGTTTGAAATTGCAAAAAGAATTACTCACGTTCTGTGCTCGTCTTTGCTCTTCTCTTTCTCCTTCTCTCTCTCCTTTTCTTTTTCTTTTTCCTTCTCCATGCTATCATTCCTCCTTTTTCGTGTGCGCTTCTCACTGTTCTTTTCGGGTTGTGGGTGGTCTTCAACTTCATGCTTTTCCTCCACATGTTCATGCTTATTCTGTTGTTTATCTTTTTCCTGCCTCTTCGAAACAACTTCCCTCTTTCTGATTCGTTCGCTGCTCTTCTTCTTATCATCCTCTTTCTCCTTCTTCCTTCGTTTCTTCACATGCTCCCAATTGACAGCCCAAAGATTCTTTCGTTCCTTGCTATTCCGACGATCATGCCGTTCTCGCGGTCCAATACGCAAGCCTTGAAGATCAGAAATGGTCGCCTCCAGAAGCGTCGTCACTTTCTCGCGCAACATTCGTTTTACAGCTTCTCTGTACAGTTTCCTGATTTCCAGTTCATCCGCAGAAGAATTGGCAGCATCGCTCTTTCGTTCTTCAGACGATGGAGATTCGGATGGGTTTTGTACACGAGGAAGAGGAGAGATCTCTTGTGACACGATACCGCTGGTTCCATCAATGCACACGGGTGAAACTTCAAGTTTCATGCTTGCACAACTGGAGATACGGCCATCTTTGAGCGAGGAGGCTCGGGAGGTGCTTCGGGTGCTGACTCGCGCAGGTGTAGGTTCTTCTTCGCTTTTCTTGGCATCTTCGCTTGCAGCACTGGCAGGACGAGCTCGTTTGGGGGCGTGGTCCTGAAAACTTCAGATTTAGAGCATTATTTGCATGCGAGATGGATCTCCTTTGTATCATTGGGAGTGGCGGGTGATGGGTGCAGCTGCTTTCCATCAATCTTACGAGTGTGCTCTAATTTTTTGAAGCGTATCTGACGATCGGTGCTCCACCCTCCACCCGCCGCTCTCAATAAAACAGAGTGTATGTCGCTAAA